GCAGCGGGCTCCTCGGCCGCCTCGGAGAACGCGACCGCCCCCGGCCCGGCCTCGGCCACCGCCCCTACCGGGGCCCAGCGCACCGCCTCGCACGGCGGCGGCGACTCCTCTTCTTCCTCCTCTGCGTCCTTCGCCTTGGACCCAGCGGTCGCCGCCGCCGCTGTCACTGTCTCCGCGGCAGCTCGCACGGCAGCCATCTTCCCGGAAGCGCCGCCGCACCCCTCGCTGCCATGGCAACAGCGGGCGGCCCGGAAGCCTGGGCGGGACTTCCGGGGTGACGTCCGGAGGGGGCGAGTCCGCCGAGCCTACGTTCTGGCCAATCGTCTGTGGTTGCGCGGCTGCTGTGAATTGGGCTCGGAGACTCAGCCCTGGAGAAGCCGCGCAGGAGGCCGGGGGGACTCGTTCCCTCGCCCCCGAGGAATCCGGAGCCCACGGGCGCTGCAGCTGCCGGGCCGAGCCCCCCCGGCCCCCTCCTCGTGCAGATCCTGGGCTGCCGCGCCTCGTCCCTCCCTAGCGCCCCTTCTCCCAGCCATATAAGGAGCGCCGGCTGCCGGGGGCGGCCCGAGGATCTAAAGATAGCGGCCAGGCCTGGGCTGCAGACGCCGCCGGCCCGCCGAGCACCATGGCACGGTGAGAGGTTCGGGGACCCCCCCGCCTGCGCCTGCGCCAGGTCTTCTGCCAGCTGCAGGCGCCGTGGGACCCCTGGAGACCTGGGCTCTGTGACCGGGCCGAGGGCGGCGAGACCTGAATGCCCCCCGACTTCCTGCCCCGCCCCCCAGCCTGGCGCCTTGGGTCCCCCCGCTCCCCGCGAGCACCGCCCCTGGCGCGCCCTCCCTTCCCCGCCGAGCGCCGCCAACGCCCCGCGTGGCCCCTCCTCAGGCAGCACGCCCGGACCCTGTGGTACGACCGGCCCAAGTACGTGTTCATGGAGTTCTGCGTGGAGGACAGCGCGGACGTGCGCGTGTTCCTTGAGGACCACCGCGTGGTGTTCAGGTAGCGCCTGCCCGCGAGGCCGGCTCCCCACGCCCCTGTCCCAGCGCCCGCCGCAGCCTCCACCTCGCCGGGGCTTCGTTGCCTCCGCAGCTGCAAGAACGGCGACGGGGTGGAGCTGTACAACGAGATCGAGTTCTACGCCAAGGTGAACTCCAAGGTGAGGGCTGCGCGCGGGCTGCCCGGGGCTCCGGAGGTCACCGGGAACCCGAATGCTGAGCGCGACGCTCTGTCCGCAGGACTCCCAGGATAAGCGCTCTGGCCGCTCCGTGACGTGCTTTGTGAGGAAGTGGAAGGAGAAGGTGGCCTGGCCGCGGCTCACCAAGGAAGACATCAAGGTGAGGGTGGGCATGGGCTGGGCCTTCTCGATCTTGCGCAGGTGCAGCTGCCTGAGTCACAGCGGGGAAGGCTCTGCCTCCGTTCCGCCCAGTATCAGTACCTCACTACCTCCTACCTATTTGAGCTCCTTGTATTGTTATTTTCTGGTACAGGGGTTTGAACTAAGAGTCTTCACACTGAGCTGCATCCCATCCCTTACTTTTTGAGACAGGGTCTCACTGAGTTATTAAGTTGCCCAGGCTGGGCTGCAACTTGTTTTTTGCTTTTTTTTGTTTTTTTGTTTTTCTTCCGGTACCAGGAATCGAACTCACGACCTTGCACTTGCCAGGCAGGCGCTTTGCCGCTGAGCTAAATCCCCAGCCTCTGGGCTGGAACTTGTGATCCTCCTGCCTCAGCCTCCCAGAATTGCCACACACCCAATATGGCCTCCTAAATATTCCTGAATGCATTTCTTTATTTCTTTCTGACTCACACGTCATCCACCTGGGCTTGTTGGGAGGTTTGTTGCATATTTTCGGCCCCACACTTTAACCCTCTTCTGCATCGTCTTTCCTTGTCTAAAACACCCTGATCCCTTCCTTCACTCTTAACTAAGACGCCCTAGTGGCTGCTTCTCCTGTTGTGGAAAGTGCGCCACCTGCTGGTCGAATCTGGCTTTCACATTCCGTTGAGCCGGCTTTACAGTGAAAATTCTTTTGATTGGTTACAGTTTTTGACTCAGGCTGGCACTTAAAAATGTGGATATCCGGGGCTGGAGATTTAGCTCAGTGGCACAGCGGCTGCCTGGCAAGCGTGAGGTCAGGAGTTCGATTCCCAGTACCGGAAAAAAAACAAAACACAAAACAAAACAAAAGTGTGGATATTTGCCTGTAATCCCAACTGCTCAGGAGGCTGAGGCAGGGGAACACAAATTCAACCTGGGCAACTTAGTGAGACCTTGTCTCAAAAGATAAAAAGGCCTGGGGTGTAGGTCAGTGTCAGAGTGCATGCTTGAGGCCATGGGGTTAGTCCTCAGTTCTGCAAAAAAAAAAAAAAAAAATGGAGTTTCATCCACAAACAGATTCTTAGGAGTCTTTGAAAGACTGGGGAGGGTCTGGCCACCCCGGCATAAATCCCCAGCACCTGGATAGAGGCTTTAGCCGGGGGCGCCTCTGGCTCAGCTGACTCTTTGTCCTTGCTGCCCCATTGCTGGGCGCTGACCCCGAGGCCTCCGCCTGCTGGGCCAGTGCACAACACTGACGCCCGGCCTGCGGCTCACAGCTCATCCCTCCTGCGGGGCTCCTGGCGGCTGGGGGTTCCGTTGTCTCTCTGCTCCTGGAGGCTCTTTCCAGACCCCACTTTCCGCCCCTGCACCTGGTGCCTGGTGCTTCCTGACGTCTGTGTGGCCGGAGCTGGGGTTAGGGGCAGAGGGCCCCGAGGCCCCTCCCCACGTCCTCTTCCGAGCCTCCCTGCCTGGGATTCTGCTTCCTCTGCAGCCGGTGTGGCTGTCCGTGGACTACGACAACTGGAGAGACTGGGAAGGGGACGAGGAGGCGGAGCTGGCGCAGGTGGAGCACTACGCGGAGGTGAGCTGCGCTGAGCCCTCAAGGTGCCCGGTGTCGTCCAGATGCGTTTTCTGCTCCCTGGGCAGACTGCTCGTTGGTGCCCATACTCTGCGTGTTCTGTAGAACTTTTTTTGTTTGTTTTTGTAGTTCAGGCTGGCCTTGAACTCGTGGCAACCCTCCTGCCTCAGCGTCCCAAGTGCTGGGATGACAGGCGTGCGCCCCGTGCCTGCCTCTGCCCTTTCTTGTGACCTTTCTCTCTCCCGCTAGCTTTTGCAGAAGGTCAGCACCAAGGGACCGCCCCCCGCCATGGATGACTTGGATGTAAGTAGTGCAGTCCTTAACCCTGCAGGCTCCTGTCTGCCCTTCCAGGGATCCACTAGGCCTCGGCTGAGGCTCCATGGTAGAGCACTGGCTTTGGCTGGGCGAGGTCCTGGGTTCTAGCCCTGCAGAAGCTACGCAGAATGAATCTGACAAGTGCTGTAGAAAGCTCCTGTCCCAGCCCCTAGCACCCAGTGGTTCTCAGTCCACGTTAACAAATTTGGATTTGACACAGGTGAGTGCTCTTCGCCAGGCTTTAGGGTACCCCAGTGAGCCCTCCTGTGGAGGTGCACGCCTGTAATCCCAGCACCTGGGAAGCTGAGGCAGGAAGATCTCCATGAAGTTGAGACCAGCCTGGACCACATAATGAGATCCTGTCTTGAAAAACAAAAACAAAACAAGACAAAAGAAAAAAAACCCCAGGAAGACCCCCTTCCTCCCTCCCTCTTCCCCTCCTCCTCCCTCAGAGCCGCTGGCCTGGCCCGACCTCTTTAGCGTGCAAGCTCTGGAATCCCAGACCCAAGGGTGAGGGCACAGGAGCAAGCCAGCGACTTGTTTTATTGTCCACGGTTCAAATCCTTGGCTGTTTGCTCCCCACGGTGCACTTTAGAAAGCCACGCTAGAGGCAGGTGGGTGGGGATGGCATCTGGTAGGCGCTGCAGGTGCTGCGTCCCCGCCCCGCCCCCCAGGATGACTCGGATGGCACCGACGTGGCCAGCGGCGGACCCTGAGTGCGCAGCGCCGGAAGGAGGCTGCGGTGGCTCTGCTGCCGGGGAGCCTCGCCTGACTGTGCCTGCTGCGCGCGGCGCTCCGAGGTGCTCCGGCGCTTCTCGGGAACGCTTCTCGGGAACGCTTCTGCAGAGCTCCCTTTGCTTCCTGGGGGTTTTCTTCCCAGACTCTGGCCTGGATGCCGCGTCAGTGGCCAGAGTGAGGAGCAGACAGAGGGCCCCCAGCCTTCCGCTGAGCGATCCTCTCTGGGCTGCCCGATTATTCGAGTGTGTGTGCGCGCGCGCGAAAGCCAGAGAAGCATAGGTGACAATAAATCTGTGGGAACCGCCCTCGGCTTCGCCTTCCTCTCGGGCAGGTGGGGCGGGCTCCGAGGTCTCCATGCTCTGGATGCAGTGAGAAGGGGAGGAGAGAGATCCCCGGGACGGCCGGGAGCGCCGCTGAGGAGCTGCGCTGTTGCCCCTGGCGCCAGCACCCAGCTTCCAGCCTGCTCTGAACCGGAAGCTCCTCTCCTTCTCCAAAACTAAGCGTGACTCAGTGCATGTCTTTTTCTTGCTCTCACACTTGACAGCTACTTAATTCAGCCACACAGTGCTTTGGGTTTTTTGGGGGTGTGGCTGTGATGGGGAAAATAATTGCCTCCTGTTGGATGTCAGAGACCCCGAGGCTGTGGTCTCACAGCATCCAGGAATGAAGTTGCAGTCGAAGAAGTTACGAGAGTCTTATTGGAAATAAGGGGAAGAACAGACCCTGGTTTCCAGGAGGAGTCCCTCCTGGGTGGCCACCGAGGCCCCCAGGGGGGCAATTTGCACAGCAAAGGCATAACGTGGGTCAGACTCCGGCCAACCTGTAGCATCACAAGAACAGCTGCCAAGAAAATCCTGATCCAAATGGGAGATGACTGTGGGGCAGGGCGCAGGGAAGAACAAGGCATTCTGGAAGGAGGGAGCTTGGGCCGGGGTGTTCAGCCGCCTCCTGTGGGTCTGTGCCTTGCTGGGCCCCTGGACCACGGTGCCGTTTCTCCCCGGGGAGGCACACAGGCTGGCCTACAGGCGGAGGCCTGGCCCTCCACATGCGCCTCCAGCCACCACCCCAGTGTGTCTTCATCCGTCGCGTTGTCTTCCTCCAGGGCCGGAGCCCTCACTGACTTACAGTCCCTAAGTTAGCTGCCTGTGTAACGGCACTGGGGTTGAACCCAGGGAGTGCTGAGCTACTTCCCAGGCCTTTTAAAATCTTGAGGCAGGGTCACGCAAAGCCGCTGCAGCTGGGCTTGCTGTTGTCATCTGCCTCAGGCCCTGGAGTAGCTGGTTCATCACAGGTTTTTGTTTTTTTTTCCCGGTACCGGGGATTGAACTCACAACCTTGTGCTTGCTGGGCAGGCGCTGTGCCACTGAGCTAAATCCCCAACCCCCTCATCACAGTCTTTTATACACACATTAGGCACTCAAAAAATGATGGGTGAGGTATGGTGGTGTACACCTGGAATCCCAGCTATTCCGGAGCCGAGGCAGGAGGATCTCACGTTCAAGCCCAACCTGACCAACTTAATGACTTAGCAAGACGCAAAGGGTCCGGAAAATAGCTCAGCAGCACAAGCGCCTGCCTGGCAAGCACAAGGTCCTGAGTTGAGTCTCAGTACAAAAAAAAAAAAAAAAAAAAAAACCTCTCAAAACAAAAATGTTTGGTGATATAGCTCAGTGCAAAGGCCCCAAGTTCAATCCCCAGTAAGTACTGAAAAGTTCATGGCCAGGGCTCGCGGAGAACATCCCTAATCTGAAAATCCAAAATCTGAAATGCTTTGAAATCCAGTATTTTTATTTTTATTTTGCTCCTGGGCATTGAACCCAGGTCCTTTGCACTGAGCTACGTCCTCAGCCTGTTTTTTTAGCGATCCTCCCGTCTCAGCCTCGTGAGTGCTGGGGTGCAGGTGTGTGCCACCACACCTACTTTGCCAAGTTCTTTGATGAAACTATCACGTGTCACTCCCACCAATTACGAGAGCGTTTCAGTCCCCAAAGCCTTTTTTATTCTTTTGGTACGGGAAATCAAACTCAGTACCTTGCGCTTCCTAGGCAGACGCTTGTGCCTCTGATCTATATCCCCAGCCCGCTAAAGCCTTTTAGATACCTAAAAAAAATTTTTTTTGAGACAGGGTCTCATTATGCAGTTCAGGCTGTCCTTCAGTAGGCTGGCCTTGAGTTCGCTGTGTAGCCCAGGTTGGCCTCAAGCTCGCAGCGATCCTCCTGCCTCGGCCTCCGAGTGCTGGGATTATAGGGGGTGTGCCACGACGCCTGGCCTGTCGCTAATATTTAAATATCCTTTACAAGGTGAAATGGTTAACACAGTATCCTGAAGATGTTTTGGATATTAACATTACGTGTTGCATTATTACCTATCTCCGGTGGGCGGCGCTGCTCCGTACCCGAGCGGCACTAGAGGCCGAGACGTCTGGGACGCTGAATGACAGAAGTTACGATTTTTGTAGTGCCTGTTTTTCAGTGGTGTTCGGGGTTGAACTCAAAGCCTTTGCACTGAGCTGCATCCCCAGCAATTTTTAAATTTTTTTTTTTAGTATGAGAATTGAGCTCGGACCTTGAGTTTGCCAGGCAGGCTCTTGTGCCACTGAGCTATATCCCGGTGTACATTTTTTTAAAATTTTGAGATAGGGTCTTCCTAACTCACTAAGTTGCCGAGGGTGGGCTCGATCTTTCGATCCTCCTGCCGCTGCCTCCCGAGTGCCGAGATCACAAGCATGCACCATTCTGGCTAAGAGACAAATTTTGTAACCGTTTCAAACCAACCCAGCACGCCTGCCCCCGGCGTTTCCGGCAACATTGGCCAAGCCACGCACGGGTCTCCGCCTTCCGCGCCTGCGCGGAGACGCGCTGTGGGTGAGGTTTGTCCCCTGCCGCTCCCCGTCGGCCCGCGCGGTCGGCGGCCCCGAGTCCGCGATGGCGTTCCAGTGTCAGCGCGACAGCTATGCCCG